TCCCTGTACAAACCAAACCATGGAGACTACATGTGGGAATGGGAGGGTATTCAATTTTGTGATGTAAATTTTTTTTTTAGTTTCAAATCTAGAAAAAACTTTTATTTTGATTAATAGAGTGCCTAGCCAAACATAAACCCTCTATTGATGTATGTTAGCCAAACATAAACCCTCTATTGATGTATGTTAGCCAAACATAAACCCTCTATTGATGTATGTTAGCCAAACATAAACCCTCTATTGATGTATATACACTCAACTGCGGCTATTCCAATTTAACTTATTAAATTGAAAATGACTTTTTATATTGACTTGAATTTTAATAGAGTTGACTTTTGACTTAAATCTAGAAGATTGATGTAGACCAAGTCCCCAACACCAATTTAGGTCAGCTCAATCTATGTAACTACACTGCGACTATATCAGTTGATTTATATAGGCATTGATGCACTTATTCTGTGAAATTTTAATAAATATAAACAATAATAAATATAATTATTTATTAAACAACAAAAACATTTAAAACACATAAATCTACTTCGAAAGAAAACATCAAAATGCAAAAAAAAAAAAAAAGTTCTCTTAGGAGGAACTAAACCTACACCCCTATTAGCTATGCCTCAAGATTTAAGCTTTTAAAAATTTATTTTTTTCTTCACCATTATATTCATTAGGTAAAAATTATAAAGATTGCCTTAATAAAATTTGCCCCTGGCATCAGGCTATTTCTAAACACGCATTCATATGTGTGTGTGTGAGTGTGTTATATATATATATATACATATATATATATATATATATATATATATATATATATATATATATATATATATATATATATATATATATATATATATATATATATATATATATATATATATATATATATATATATATACATATATATATATATATATATATACATATATATATATATATATATATATATATATACAGGCCTTCTCGTAAGAGGCGTGCGATCAGACGCTTTATATGACCACGCAAATAGTTATTTGTTTTAACAACTTGACCACGGCTCTTTGCAAGTTTCGATAATTAACGCGTTTAAAAATGCGCTAAAAGAAAACAAATGCGATTTTTAATTTAATTGATTCCATAAATACAATTAAACTGCCACAAAATTTCCTGAGTACTTTAATGCAACTTAATAAAAGCAATCGTTGAAAAAAATATTAGAATGCAAAATGAGTACAGAAGCAAAATAAGTAAATCAAAAAATAATTACAAGCCATTTTATCATAAAACTATCATTTCTAATAAAGAAATTATTTACTAAAAAAAAGAATTACAATAATCTAGAAATAGTCGCATTTGCTAACTATTTTTTATCCCAGGGCATGACGTACCGTTTTTTTTAATGATTGTTGACTTGCATATCTTTATTTATTGACGTACGTCTAATTTAAGAGATTTATGTCAAATAAGTTTCAAATAATTTTTATTCTAGTTAATAAGTTATCAAATATATCAAAGAAAGGTAAATTTATTCAAATATATCAAAGAAAGGTAAATTTATTCAATTTATTCAATTTTCAAAAAACTTTTATTTTACACTTTTGCAAAGCGCAAATTAATGATAAACGCACGATAAAAAAACTTTTAAAAGTGTTTTTAATATGCAAACAAACATTATTTCAGTTTATGGAAAATAAGAAAATTAAAAAAAAAAAGCATGCACAATTTCTAACATTATATAATATATTTATAGTTTATTATATATAAAAATTAACATTATAAATTTTATTTATAATGAAATCATTTGCTTTATACTTTTAATGTAATTGCAAAAACAGAAGAGAAACCAAGCATTACGAACGTTTTGTTCAATAAAATAAAGCAATCAAATTGTTAAAGGACGGTTTCTTTTGAAGTTTTTGCAAAAGCATCTATTTTAAATAAAACTATCATACTTTTGTGAGCGCATGCAAAAACCACACTAAAACATAATTACTTTTTTCTATTTATTTTACTTAATAGTGACGCTATTGAAAAAAGTAATTATGTTTTGGCATTTTTTAAAAAAAGTCTCTGTAATTAATTGTTTTTCATTTTAAATATGTGATTTTTGTAATAAATAAAAAACTATTAATCGCAAAATTATTTTGAAAAAATTGCTGAAGTAACGCATTTGTTTTGAAAAATCTTAATCAAACGGCAACGTTTGCATAAGCAAAATTAAAGAAACGTGATGTTTGTTTTTCTGTCTGTCTTAATGAAATGCGCACACATTTGTCGATTTGTTGCACCTTGTATCCTATTAACTTTTTAATAAAATTTTAAATTTGTACCAGAAAATTTTATTAAATTTCATGACCCTTTCCCTCACTATGGATCCGCACTTGTATTAGCCTATTTATTCATGGGAAGGAATGGTAAAGATTATTAAAGCTGTGATTTTTTAACTTTTGCTTCCAATTAAGTTTAAATTAATTAATACATGTTTTGATTTTTTTCTGGTTTTTCCATTATTCATCTTATCATTCTTTAAACATTTTATTTTTTTAGGGTAATTTTTGTTATATATATTATTTTGAGGATTTTATTCTTATTTCAGTTTATGGATTGTTTATTTTAATTTGCTTTGTTTTTTTCTAGCACAATTTTTAAATGCGCTAATTATCAAAACTTGCAACGAGCCGTGGTCAAATTGTTAAAACAAAGAACTATTTGTGTGGTCATATAAGGCTAGATCTATATATATATATATATATATATATATATATATATATATATATATATATATATATATATATATATATATATATATATATATATATATATATATATATATATATATATACACACACACACACACATGTGAATGTGTGTTTAGATAAGCACTCTGACATTACACTGAAATAGCCTGATGCCGGGGGAAAAATTTATTAAAGCAATCTTTAAATCGATTTCAAACTTAGTAGACAAAAAAACGATTTTAACTCTATAAAGCATCCTTGTATTATCCTTATTGTATACATCCTTGTATTAAAATCTCATTAAAAAGACTTGTTAATAAATTTAAGTAGATCAAATGGCATGCTAGCATTATATTAGAATACATTTCTACCATATGGTTCAGGACTCGAATTAGATGTATCGTGGTTTTCACACCTTTGCAATTAAATTTTTCTAAAAAAAATAGTATGGCGATTTTTTTTTTATTTGTCAATTTTTTTCTTTTCAAACTTATCATCTTTTTTGGTCATTCTTAAAAGTAATGTTTTTGTCTAAGCTTTTTATTAGGGGTCATAAAGTACATCACTCAAAATTTAATTTTTGAATAGAAGTATGATCATTTGAACTCTTACGCAGAGATTTTTATTCAACATAAAAGAGCTTTTGAATTTAAATTACTTTAAATCTCTGCGTGAAAGCCAATAATATTTTAAAGTTATATTTAGTTTGATTTACTGAACGGATAAAATAAACCACAGTAAATTTACTTATAAAGTAAATCAAAACAACCTATTTGAACAAAAGAATTTTATTCTAAAATTCTTTTAATTAGACATTTTTGCAATTGAAATTTGTAATTAAAAAAAAAAATTTAAAAAATTTAAAAGAACTTTACTGTTCAATAATTATAAATTCAATTGCAGCAATGTCTGTAACACTCAGTGACATAGCAATGATCATTAATGAAAGTTAAACATCTAGCTACAATATCAGATTTAGAGCATAGTGCAAGCGAGGAAAGAAAATTTTATTTAAATTGTAAACATTTAAACAATTATTTTTTGTTTCTTTAAAATAGTTTTAAAAGAAACATTCTATTGCAAACATTAAACCAGTGACTATTGCAAACCTCAAACCAAAAAATAAATTATAAGAAATTTAAATTAAAAAAAAAGAATTATTTTATTTCTGTTTTAAAGAAATTTTTTTCCAAAAAAATAATTTAAGCATATACTTAAACTTAAGGAAATAGAATATTCAATTTATTAAACCAAACTTTTTTCTTTTTCTTTTTTCTCGCTTTTTATTGCAAAACAATTTAAATGAAAAAATTGAATGAAAACATCAACTTAAGAACCGTTTGAATGAAAAACTTAATTATACTTAAGTATAATTAAATTTTTCATTCATATGGTTAATATACTTAATTATTAATTAAGCATTTTAATAATTATACTTAATTATTTTTAATAGTACGCTAGATCAAGAAACAATAAATTATAAAAAATGTGGTATCTAATGTTTTTTTGCCTTACTCACTTGGTCTATATATTATAGACTCATATAGTCTATAAGCAAATATGCGCAAATATGAAGTTTAAAAGTTTATGACAATAATTGATTAATTAGAACAATTCAATTCAAATAAAACTGTTTTATTTTAAGTGCATTTTATGTTATTAATATTTTAAAATGCATAAAACAGCAATAAAACAGTGTGATAAAGTTGTTTTACATTAACACAAGCTCTTTATATTGACACAACAACCTTGTTTCATTGTTGTTTTATAACTTTTTACAATAGCAATTTAATACTTTCTAAAAATAAAACAGGTTTTATCGTCAGCATGAATGTATTAAATAATTTTCTATAACTAATTAAGATGATTTAAATATTGTAATATTTGAATTTTTTCTTTTACTCTTTTTGGTAATGATACTTAAAAAGTAAAAACAAAAAATATCTAAATTATATTAAAAGTGTTACAAATATAACTAAAACAATCACTGAAAATATCATAATACAGATATAAAATTATTATTTTTATTTGCAACTACATTTTTTTTGCATTAATTCGAGCCCTGTGGTTAAAAATTAATTATCAAAACGCCTAATCATCGAACAATTTTTCTTTTCAACTTAAATGAATGAACTCAACTCAACCACTAAATCTAAAAAAAATGTTTTTTAGAATTTTGTTCCTTGAGTCTTCTTATGAAAATTTATGCTACAACTTCTTAACTAAAATTATCATAGTAAATTATCATAAATTATCATAGTAATTCGAAGGTGTTTACTTTAAATTAACCCTCTAACTACATGTGAATATTCCCTGGAATGTAAACAACTATTTTTAATATTTTATTGGATTTTAATTCTATACTACAAACTTACCCTGAATAAGTGAAAAATCTTTAGGAAGATGATATATAGCACATAGGTAAGCCAAATCAGTGATTGGATCTCCAATTGTAGACAACTCCCAATCAAGAATTGATTTAATTGAATATGAGTTCTCATCAAATATGCAATTATCCAGTCTAATATTATAAATGAACTTTTTTTTAAATCTTAAATCTTTAATAAAATTTTTAATAAATAAATTTATTAACTTGCTTAACTATTCAATTAACTTATTAACTTAATTGTTCAATCAAATACCTAAAATCACCATGTACAATAGTTGATTTCTCAGTTTCCGGTAAATTTTTTGGTAGCCAATCCATTAAATGATCCATTTGAGGAACACTGCATGTCTTACTTGCTTCATACTGTGCTGACCATATAGAAATTTGTCTTTTCATGTAATTTCCTTTAAAAAATATTTAGAAAAATGCTTAGCTTAGATAATAAAATAATAAAAATTCAAAAACTTACAATTGTAATACTTAAAAAGATTTTGTGTTTTTTTTTTTTTTTTAAATTTTAGAGCCAATTACTTATTATCAAATATATTATTACTCATTATTAAATATTATTCAATATCATTAAAATTGATATAGATTTAACATTATTAAAATTAATACATACATATAGGCCTGACCCTAGACATTCTGAAAGTGGGTGAAAAAAATATTTTGGCGCCTTAACAAAATAAATTTCAAGTTTTTAAATGTATTTTAATCAAAATTTTTCAAAAAAAGGTTATAAATTCTTCTGATAAAGTAAATCTGTTGAGAGCTTTTTAATTAACTGTTGAGAGCTTTATAATATTGAATAAAAAGCTAAAAGAGATAATTCCAACTTTAAAAGCGTTATATCTTTTATTACAATAGTAGCACATTCAAATATTTTATGGAAAACCTCTTGTTTGTACTTTTCTTTTAGACATAATTAGACATAAAAAAGAAGCAAGTTCGTGTGCAATACAAGTAACAGAGTCAATCTTTTCTTGGTTCTAATTTTCTTTTTTTTTAAAAAAAAAAACGTTTCATTGACTTTAAAGGATCTGAAATATTTGTTAAACAAAAAATATTACGATCAAACACAAAAAATCAAAACTTGCTATTTTTAAAGCAATCAAATGATTTTTCCAATTGTTTCTTAAGTGGTCTTAGCTGCATCATCAAGTGCTTTGTTAATTTTTAACATTTCAAGCCAAAGAGTTTTTAAAGAATTGATGTGGTTTTTTTTCATCTTGTATCACTTAATGGTTTAACAGTTAAAGTTGGACACTTTGATTTGGACTTTTGATTGCAAAGGAAAAAAAAATTATTGAAAACTTGTTTAGTGATATTAAAAAATTTTAGGTGAACATCTGACAATCAAAATCAGAATCAAAAACTTTTTTAAAATCAATTTTTAAAAACTAATATTTTTGTTGCAGCATGGAATATAAAACACTCAAACTTTTTTTTAAGAATATGTATACAATTTTTTATCCTTTTTTATCCTTATTCAGATTTGCAACATTGTCATAGCTCTGACCTCTGCAATGTTTTCCACTGAAAAATTATTTTTTTTCCAGAGAGTCAACAATCACATTTAATAACTCATATCCTGCTAAATCTTAAATTATTCAACTTTTATCAGCCATTTCATCACAATGAGTTTTAAAGAAAAATTTTTCTAAAGATGTTTAAATTTGATTTCAATTGTTCCTCTTTTCGTAGATGTGTTTATTTAAACTACCAACCAGAAAGTTTTCTCTTCTCCATTATTTAAAAAAAAAAAAAAATCAAAATAAATGCAAAAAATTAATTTAAAAAAAACTATTTTTAAAGCTTTAATTTCAAATTTAATTTGAAAGAAATTTTGAAACCTGAACACATCATCATTAAATTTTGAAACCCGAACACATCATCATTAAATTTTGAAACCCGAACACATCATTAAAGAATCATTTGCGTTTCTTTGGAGTTCAATTTAATCCAATAATTCTTTTCTTTATTTAAATTGGTTCATTTTTGCTGCATAAGTAAAAGCAATACTACTAAACAATGTCAATGATTGCTTAGCAAAAAAATGAGAACGCTTAATTTTGTTCTTAATTAATTATTTATATTTTTAAGATGTTTTTAAAATATATAATATAAGTTTATATTATATATTTTAAAAACGTTTTTAAAATATATAATATAAACTATTATAAACTAAATAAATTTAATAAAGTTTTGAAAATGCTTTTTTGAGTTATTATAGTTTTTATTATAAATTAATCTGATAATATGAATAGGCTAATTTAATATTATTATTATTAGTCGAGTTACGTCATTTTCTAGGCTTTTCTATTTTAAAGTAGTTTCTAGGCTTTTCTATACGCGGGTTTTTTTTTTAATTTTATTTACTAACAACGCGTATTACGGGTTGCTTACTGCTAGTAAATAATAATTCTTACATGAATAATTATATAAATTTTGTATAACTATTCTTATAAATTTATATTTTTTTATATTCCCAGTTAAAAAATAAGTATATAATAAAAATTTGATCCTTCGAAGCCTTGGTGCCTGGGTGAAATATATATATATATATATATATATATATATATATATATATATATATATATATATATATATATATATATATATATATATATATATATAAATTTAGACTTTTATTTCATTTCATCTTGATCTTAACAAAACATTATTTTTATTAAGTCCAAAATGGTCAGCTGCTTTTCCACAGGTCATATGATTTATGATAGATTGGACTTTATCAGGAATGACAAGATGGGCATCATCATCAGAAGATTACAGCATTTAATTGTAAAGGTATCATATATATTACATGTTGGATTGACTGAGTTAAACAGGGTTCAATAGTTATTATTATGAGTCAATAGAAGGTGGAAGGCTACATTTAAATATACTTTAACTGTTTGTTTAGGTAATATTTTAAGTTGTATACAAAATTATCAGTGGTATCATTTGGTTTGCATAAACTTTGTGATAGCTTCAGATTCTAATGGAGTCAATAATACAAAAGCCTTTATTAAGTATGAAGTTGTGCATCAATAATTAAATTTTATTTATTCAAAGTTTTCAGAAATTTTTAAGGTAAAAAACATTGTGAACTTAATTTTTGAGTTAAAAACATGTGAACTTAATTTTTAAGGTAAAAAACATTGTGAACTTAATTTGTAAGGTAAAAAACATGTGAACTTAATTTTTAAGGTAAAAAACATGTGAACTTAATATTTGAGGTAAAAAACATTGTAAACAATCTTTAAGGTAAAAAACATGTGAACTTAATTTTTAAAGTAAAAAATATGTGAACTTAATTTTTAAGGTAAAAAACATTGTGAACAATTTTTAACAATCAAAGAAGATTATGATCTTCTTTGTTATTAATATGTAAAATTGAAACTTTGTTAATAAATGCTATTAACATTCTTTTGTTAATGTTCTTTAAAAAAACTTTATTAATTGAAAAGATTGCATAGCATAATTATTTTCGATTTTCATGTTTAACACAAATGATTGTTATTAACAAAAATTCTTGATGTTTGCAAAGTTATTAACGAATAAGTTTTTATACTCACTTTATTTTCTAAAGAAGGAAAAAATAAATATTATACTATTTCTTGAGCAATTTTAGTTTTCGATTTTTTATGCTTTTTTATTGGTTTATTGTTAAGAATTTTATTATCTTTTGTACTAGGACTTTTTACTGCTAATTTTTTTCAGGTTCTCAAAAAAGCTACTTTGCTTAAGCAATCATTGATGACAATAAATTATGCAATCATCAATGACAGTAAACTATGCAGAGACTGCAGGTTTTACTGTTAAAATATTATTAGAGAGTTAAAATCAATAATATCTCATGCTTTTTTTGGCTTAAAATTTAATAGAAGTTTTATATCATTGCATTCATTCTGCATAAGTTGAAAAAAGAAACTTTTTATTCCAGTATCCATTGTAGCATTTCAAATAAATTGTTCTAATGAGTTGCAACATCTTACTTCATTTTGTGAGATACTTGATTGCTAATGAATTGATTTTAATTTTACACATGCTATTGGCGAATAATTAAGATGTGTTGTTATTCCTATGCATAAAGCTAAAATGTCTTTAATTGATTTTTGGCTCAATATAGATTCATTGTACAAAGTTGCAAGGTATGGATAAAACATGGAAACTATGCTATCCCACTGTTTTTTATTCAATTTAAAAAAATTAAGAAGATGGCATCTAAATATCTTACAATTTTTCTATCATAAATAGAAAGTGAAGGATGTTAATCTTGGAGTTAAGCTGTTTAACAGATCATTGAGAGATTAGTTTAAAGTCATCAGGTCAAAATTAAATAACTTTAAAATCATTTGTGAATGTTAAAGTTTACCGTTATTAAAGCTATAATTATAACTCTATCCAAATTTTCATTCTTTATATGTAAATTTAACTTAGCTTATTCTATTGTCAATCGATGTATTCAAAATTAATAAATTAAATTTTAAAATGTAGATTTATTTATATTGAACTTAATAGGATATTTGCTAAATGTCAAGTTGATAGTGTAGAGTTTGTTAAACAACATGTTGAATTTGCAAAGTTTGCTAAAAGTATAGCTCTCAGAGAGGCTGATTCCATTAACAGTTATAAAATATCAGAGTACTAACAGTGCCATGTTGCGCATGGATGGTGTCCCTGTTGGTACTTTTGGTGTACATTGTCAAGGCCACATTTAGAGCTCTTGCAGGGTGGCCATTCAAATTTGTAAATGAAATTCCATGACTTTTCCATAATTTTTCCATGACTTTTTGTAAATTTCCAGGATAGGAAACTAAAGTGATTTCAGTGATAGGGAACTAAGTGATTTCAGTGATAGGTAAAACATAGCATGCTGAGCACAAAGTGCTTTATCTCTAAATTTTTTATGCTGGAGATTAAGAAAAAATTACCCTTTTTAATATTTTGTAAGAAATTATCTATATTATGTTTACAAAACTTTACAAAGGTAAATTATAAACATAATCTTTTTATTAGATCAATTTATAAACAAATATATAAAAGCTGTAATGCTCATGACCATAACTTACTCTAAACATTTTAGATTTTTGATTAAAAAATAACTATTAACTATATTTTTTTTTTGTGCAAGAATTATTGATGTAAATCTTTTATTTGAATGGTTAAAGTGATACAGTTAAAGGTTTTAAAATATAAATAAAATTAAAGGTATAAAAATATATGCAAAAAAGTCAAACTACCTTACTATAATAAAAATAAAAACTTTCAATATATGAAATGACTGAAACTTAAATTAAGTTAAATGACTTTTTAATCTCTAACTTTACAAAATTATCCAGCAAATGAGAGTTTTTTTTTTTTTACTTTCACCTAATAGCCAACAAATCCATGGAATCAAATTTAATCAACATATCCACAAAATAAGATTTTTGATTGAATGATAAAACATTTAATTTCTTCATTTAAAGTAACAACACGCAATTGAATTTTTTCTTTCTCTTTCTCATATCATTAATTTCTTTAATAATAAGCTTCCTTTTTTTTTTGGTTTTCTAATAGAAACATTTTTCTTTTTATTTTCATCCAATTATTACACATTTCGGGAATGAGCTAACTCGCAACTATTTTGTTAATTCATTAGTGATTATGAAATTGTAAACATCTTCCTTTGTTGCATTTACATGGCTATAAACAGTACACTGTCTAATTAAAGGGTTTTTTGCATGCTCTTTGTTGATACTACAACCATGCTCAATATTAAGTATAACAACTAAGATGCAGACTATTCTAAGGTTTATTCAAGTTGAAATAAGGCATAAAAAACTTGTCAAGATGTATTTAAAAGCAATTTAATTAGCTGAACTCTTTATTTACTGTCACAGCAGATATTATAGCAGCTTCAAATTAATAATTAGCAGAATCAGCTGTTTGGGCGGATATAAACTTGAACTATTGAGTGGATATCAACTTAAATCTATACAACTTATCAACCAGCTGGCCAAAATGAGCAAACTCTAATTCTTTTATGTTAACCATATTAATTAAGAATAATAGACATGCATTTTTCAATACCATATTTTTCAAAGGACTTTTTTCTTGAAGTTTTTCAACTATCTTGAACAGAATAGTAATGCAATCTTTGAATTTGTACTTAACACTAAATACTCTTTTAGAATGGTGTACAATATCCCATAAGAATATTAACTTTGCTTGAGGAGGTTGTCCTTATAATGACTTACCAGTACATCATATGATTTATATTTGGGCTTTTGGCTTTTGCTAAAGCCTCTCCAGTATAAGTGAACTTAACTTTTTAAATTAAATAACAGTTTTTTACGGTTTATTGTCTATCATAGTGTTAACCGGTTTTATGTATATAATGCCAATATATTATTTTTATATTTTTATATTGATAGTACCACTTGGACGATTATAATCCATAGTTTTTAAGTTCAACTTTTCCATAACCAGAGTTCAATTGGGGATTTATATCAGTTTTTTAAGTCCCCTTAGTTTAACTTCTTAACTGAAGCAGATTGTACTGGATTAAATATTACCAGTAGCAAGTGTGACCACAGTGTATGGCTTTATACAAGATAGGTGCACAAAGTCAGTTCAAGAAATTGACTAATTGATATTATTTTTACAATTACAGTCCTGTATTGGAAATGTCTTGCAGTGTTAACTATAAAAAACATTCCAGACCAATTAGTAATAAAAAATTAAAAAGTCGTAAAAATGTAATTTTATTTTTTAAAAAATTTAGCTACAAATTTACAGAGTTAGTAATATTAAAAAAATTTTAATAATCATTCAACTAAATTTTTAAAAAGAATCATTTTATTGCAGTAATGGGTTTTACTTTAGAGGGTAAGTACTATTTATTAAATATTTACTAAATTTTTATTCAAAAGAGAAGCAACATGTTTTAGAATATGGTTTGAAAAACTGCATTAAAATTATCAAATCTTTTTTTGTTTTTAATTTACTAAATATTTTATTCAAAAGAGAAGCAACATGTTTTAGAATATGGTTTGAAAAACTGCGTTAAAATTATCAAATCTTTTTTTGTTTTTAATTTTTCAACTTTTACAACTTTTTGTATCCACATTTATCCTAATTTCTTAACATTATATAGCTAAAGTCCTACGGTGTTCAACGATGTTAAATTTTTCACCACATCAATCCACATTTTTATGAAATTTTTTCAGATCATGTGCAAAAAAACAAAATCATTGACTTTATTATCAATATTTCATAAAAAAAAACAAATCATAAGGCTTTATTTGTGGTAGCAGGCAGTTGAGTTGTGATGAAACACAAATTTATTTCATTGACTTTAAATGTACAAGTTATTCTTATAAACATGCAAAAGTGGTCTTTAAAGGCAGGGCATATAGTATTTCCATCTTACTATAGTCTATGCAATTCAAATGTCATCTATTAGATAAACATATTTCTATTACAGAAACATGTGCCAAAACTAAGCTACTTAATACTACTTTTTTACTAATTTTAAATTAAGCCATACATATAATAAAATATTAAGCCATAATAAAACTACTAAACACCTAATGTGAAGTTCCAATGTGAAGTTCTCACAAATCATAATTTTACTATGCCATTAACATTAATTACCAAATGGGAATGTAATGGAAGCTCTGTTTATGTGTCACATCACTTAGAAACAGAAATTTACAAACTCTGATGCTACTGATGAGTTTCTGTTTGTATTTTCATTAGTACTGTTGAAACTGAGTGACGGACAAAATATTATTTGGCAAAATACGCAACTTTTATCAACACTTTTTTGCCAACAAATTAAGTTTACTTTTTTTTTAGAGAAGTAAAAAGATTTTTTAAAAAGAGCATTATGGTTTTTGTCTGTGCTACTGCACACGTGGATTCAATTTTTTGAGTGCATGTTACTCATTAGCTTTTAGATGTAAAAAAGTGTCAAACTAGAAGTGATCAAGATAAATCTAGTATTCAAAAACGTTCAGAAGATATCAAACAAAAACTTAAAAACCATACTGTAGACAAACTAAAACCTTGATTAGGGAATACAAATAATGGAAAAAGAAGACCGCAATACAGATTTTTGTTGATTCCATGAGCATCATACAAGAAAAAACTCTACAAATATAGGTTTGCTCAATATGCTTTTGGTAACAGCAGATGATGTCATCAATTTTTACAAAGAAATGTCAAGGAAGAAAACTAGTAAATTACTGTTAGAAGTATTGAATTTAATTGTCCTACCTGTAATATCACCATAGCTAGTTGGAAATACAGTTCTATATGAAGATGAAGATTATTTAGGGTCTGATACTTCTGATATTAAAAAGAACAATGATTCATCAGATAATGATTCATCGGACAATGATTAATCTGATGATAACTGTTAAGAAAATATTTCTTTCATTTTACATTATCAGCTGAATTAATATTTTTTTATTTTTATTTTTGGAAAAATTTCATTACATATTTTTTGTGTTAAAATAAAGTATTTATTTTTATTAACTAATTAACTTTTCTTCATAATTAAAATTTAAAAATTCTTAAAACTATAAAAAATACTTACATATATAAACTTAAAAATAATCAAAAATAGTTACATATATAAACTTAAAAATAATTAATAAAATACCAAAATATTATTAATTATATTTTTAGGAATCAAATTGCAGAACAAAATATTTTTGTATACGTAGCTTGTATAAAGCAATGCACTGTGTGACCTCACCATAATTGGTTGATTCAAACTCAAACAAAATTCTTAAAAGTATTTTAATTTCAATTGATATCTTATTTTGAATACTAAACCTCTGAATTTGACATTCTAAAATGGTAATCTGACCTAATTGATTGCAATAAAATGTTAATCTATAACTTACACAACAATATCTTTTTAATAAGGTCTTTGACTAGATATACTATTTTTTCTTTGAAAATATCTTGTTACCTTTTTTTCCAAAATCTGTAAGTCCAGATCTTTCAATGTCAACAGAATGTATCTGTTGTAATACTTCAACTAAAGAGTTGTATACATTGGTTCTCTCAGTAGGAGAAACATTTGCAATGTCTTTAAACACCCTACCATGTACATATTCCATTAAAAAGAAAGATGTGCCAATTATACTAGAATAAAAAAAAGAAAAAAAAATTTGTGAGAAATTTTTAAAAGTTTCTTTCTTTTTTATGTTTTTTTACTAACAAATGATAACAAACAAAAAAAATTAAACAAAAACTAAATAAAGTTATTTTTTCTTTTTCTTTTATATATATATTACCAAAAGACTATAAATAAAATCATACTGTTTAGTTAAAATATAAAATGCCTATCTTTGCCAAAAATAAAAAACAAACACTAAAATAAACCTAGAATCTTCACACAAACAGAACATTTTAGGAACAGGTACACCAAATTGATTTAAAGCTTTCATCACCCTATAAAAATATAGTGTAAAAAATTACAGATTTAATCAATTATTATATCATAACATATAATAAAGTATTACTTATATTCTCTCTCAATTGAATGAGCAGAAGGTAGCAGCTTTCCTGGCTAAATATAGTATAAAACTAGTAAAGCAAAACAAAACAAAAAACATAAATAAAAAATAAAAAATATTATTGAAAATGAGAATTTAACAGTGAACTTATTAAAACAAATAAAATAATAAAGCATTATACAAATTTGAATCCAAATCACTAGCAATCAAATAATACAATATTTAATGTCACAGACAGTTTGTATTTTATAACAAAAAAGACAAATAATGATTTATCTTTTCTTAAATTTAATCCAAATAACTAGAAATTAAACACATAATCATTATTTAATACATACATACATACATACATACATACATACATACATACATACATACATACATACATACATACATACATACATACATACATACATGCATGCATGCATACATCATACATACATCATACATACATACATACATACATACATACATACATACATACATACATACATACATACATACATACATACATACATACATACATACATACATATATACATACATATATATATATATATATATATATATATATTTTTAATTATGTTCGCTTCCAACAAGGCTGCAAGCAACCACTAATTAGTGTTGGAAGTTACTAGAAGAGAAAAGATAAAGATTGGAGAGCAAGATAACGACTGACAGACAACTTAAAAGATTGCAAATTATATGAATCAGGAAAGCAAGATGAAGGAAGTGAATTCCAAAGAACTGAGATTCGAGGAAAAAAACTAGTCAAATAAGAGTTTTTGGAACACTTAGGAACAGTAACAGAAAAAGGATGAGACTTAATTGAATGACGAGTAACACGAGAATGAATTTTAGTAGATGGCACAAGAGACGCTAGCTCCTTCGAGCAGTCCCCAACATAGTATTTGTAGAAAAGAGAAAGAGAAGCAACATTACGACGGTGTGACAGAGGTTGAAGGTTGGCTGCAAGAGCAGGTCCAACTATGTTTACAATGCGTTTTTGCACCTTGTCTAAAAGAGAAAGGGCATCATTAGAAGATCCGCCCCAGATATGGGAACAGTATTCCATACAAGGCCGGACTTGAGATTTATAGAGATAGAGAATAGAATCCAGAGTAAAAAAGTGACGAGCTCGATAAAGAGAAGCAACTTTAGCAGATGCTAATTTTGCAACGGATTTGATATAAGGTTTCCAAGAAAGATCAGAAGTAAGAGTTAATCCTAGAAGATGAAGGGTAGGAGACTCATTGAGTACATTACCGTTCATAAATATAGGAAGGTCTAAATTATTGCGATAACAATTGGCCGAAAAAAATTGAGTTTTATCTGAATTAAAGTTCACCAGCCACTGCGAGCCCCATGCTGTAGCAGAAGTGAGATCCTTTTCGAGCTCAGATATTCCCTGCAAGCAATCAGAGGGAGTTGGCTTCTTATCGTGACAAGAATAAATGGTAGTATCATCAGCGAACAATGCCACCTTAGATGTGAGAATATCTGGAAGATCGTTAATGTAAATTAAAAAGAGTATAGGGCCAAGGATTGAACCTTGGGGAACCCCTGAGGTTACAGAATAAGAAGAAGAGTGCTGTCCATCAAGGACAACTTTTATACTACGATTGGAAAGGAAGGATTCAATAATCTTAAAGATGTTTCCAGATACACCATAAGAAAAAAGCTTATGGAGGAGACCAGCATGCCAAACTTTATCAAACGCTTTAGAAATGTCAAGAGCAATGGCCTTAACCTCTCCGCCTTTATCTAATGCGCGATAAAACCTATCAGTTATTACTGATAGCAAATCAGCCGTAGAACGAGAAGATCGAAATCCAAACTGATGATCAGAAAGTAGGTTATGAGATTCGAGATTCGAGATTAAGTGTTTATTAATTAAAGATTCAAAAACCTTGCTTATGATAGGAAGAAGACTAATGGGCAGTAGTTAGATGAATCAGATCGCTCTCCAGAATTTTTAAAAATAGGGATAACAGACGCTGCTTTCCAGCAGGCCGGAAAACAAGACTCTGATAAGCACTTGTTAAATAGTTTTGAAAGGATAGGCGACAGCTCCGGAGAACACTTCTGCAAGACTATAACAGGTATGTTGTCTGGGCCGCAAGCTGTAGAAGAGTCTAAGCGGGAAATCACTTTAGATACAGAAGCTGGAGTGATGCAAATGTCGAGCAATGGATCAATCTGTTTGACGGCGTTATCAGGTAGAACGCAACTAGTGGCATCAAGAGATGATATTGATGTAAAGTTCTTGGCAAACAATTCAGCTTTGTCTTTAGGTGAGGTGACAAAGTCTGAACCATACAAAAGAGGTGGAATTACAGACTTGCCCTTATTATTGATACTATTAAAGATTCTCCAGAAGTCACGAGAGCCTAATTTTTATGATGAAATACGAGATTTCATGATCTGAGAATAGCGAGCTTTGGCGTTTAAAATTAAAAATTAAGGACCTTTTTTCTTATTTTTTACGCCGAGTTTTTTTTGTTGTTGTGAAAAACGCTAATTTTCCGATCAAGTTTGCCTGAACAAAGGGATACTGCCATCCAAATTTTTTTCCTAGAATAGGAACTATATACATATATATATATATATATATATATATATATATATATATATATATATATATATATATATATATATATATATATATATATATATATACACACTCTTGCATGGTCGTCTCTAAGTTTTTACCGTAAAAGGTCAGTTTTATTTTTTTTTTATTTTAAAGACCGGAAAAACTTTTTTAAAATTATTTGATAGACTGCCTGCCCCTACCCAACCTTCATTCAATGTAGCAGCACTCCGTTGCATGTCAGACTATTTGTCAGTTGATGTAGCAGCACTCTGTTGCGAGTCAGGCTATTTTTCAGTTGATGTAGCAGCGCTCCATTGCAAGTCCTAAGATACAGTTGATGTAGCAGCACTCCATTGCAAGCTATAAGATAGTCAATGTAGTAACACTTTATGTTACTAACATAAAGTTACATGTTACTTGTAACATAAAGTTACTTGTAACTTTATGTTACAAGTAACTTTATGTTACTTGACTTATGTAAGTAACATAAAGTTACTTACATAAGTCAAGTAACATAAAGTTACTTACTTATGTAAGTAACTTTATGTTACTTGACTATCTTATAGCTTTCAATGGAGTGCTGCTACATTGCAAGCTATAAGATAGTCAATGTAGTAACATAACTTATTTTTTAATTGTAAAACATGCCAACTGCTATTGGCATGTTTTACAATTAAAAAATAAAAATAAAAACATTAAGAATGTTTTTTAAAAAAAAAAGTAGAACAAAAACATTCAGAATGTTTTTAAAAACATTCTAGTCTTTTAATTTGCGTTTTTTGTGGTTTTTTAAATTAAATTACTTCCTGCAATTAAATTAATGTGTTTTGACATAATCTAACCTTAATTTTGTCAGCTTTAACACCATAAACAATGTATCTACTCTTTTCCAATTTTTTCTTGAGCTTGTTTAACTTTGTTGTGGTCAATAGTTAAGCAAGTATTTCCTTCAGTGATAATTTTAGCATCAATCACGGCAGCAGTTGCTATTTTTGCCGTTTCTCTTAAACCTGTTGATGCCTTAAGCTTGCTAATGTTATATTTTTTATATTCGTGGTATTATATAATACACTTTTTTCTTTTACTTTTTTTGCTTTTAAAACATTAATTTTTATTTTATCATTTATATCTTCATACACTTCATCTAAGTCTCTTGGAAATCTCTTAGGAAAAAAAATCATTTTCTTGATTAAGAATCTCCTGGTCTGTTTTTATTTTTTTATTTGTGAAACCTGATTTTCTATAGGATGTCATTTAACTTTTTATTTTGTTTTTAAGTTTCAATATGATCATTGCAGTGAAGAACCCAGATGTGTTTTAGTACTGTTTTAACGGTATGGGCGCCCAAAAATTATTTATATTTTCAATTTTCCTTTTAATTTTTAATGAAAAATAGAAAAAAAAATTAGTTTTAAATGCAGTAGTATATAAACAACTCTCAGTTTAATTTAGCTACCTAATTTTTTCTTCTTGAGAATAAAAAGAACTAAAAAGAAATTGCTTTTTTAAATAGCTACGTAAAGTAATTTGCCTTCGGTTATTAACTGGACATAAATTTTAAAAAAAGTCGTTACGAAACTTAATTTTAAAACCACATCGCAAATTTTTGTAACAATGGAATGAATAAAAGATTTGCTTTTTTGAAAGTTAAAGCGCTTTTAAATATCCATTCATCATAAGGTTAATTTTTGTTTTTGGCAATTAAGAGTAAACTGCTTTTAATAATAAATGAACAAAAGTAAAAAATATCAGTCCTTCTAACTATTGCATAAGTTTAATTTTTAAATGAATGAACTTTTGATCTTTAGCTTTCTTTTTTAGTTTACGTAAGGAAAACGAAAAAACGAAGTATAAACTTTTTCAGACAGTTTTTTTCCTTTCAATATTCTTTTTAAAATAATAAAAAAAAAAGTTTTTTTTTGTTTAAAATAACCCATAGTAAATGTAATTTGTTTATTCAAATGTAATTTTTAAAATTATTCTTAATAATTAAAAAAAATTTTTTTTTTTATATATATGTTTTTAAAAATATGTTTTCGAAAATATTTTTTTTTAAATATATGTTTTTAAAAATATAATATGGTTTTTAATCAAAAGATAGTCATAAAAATAAATAGTCTGGAAACACGGCCTGGGAACAATAGTTTTTGCGTTGATGTAAGGTTCTTGTACCCAGCCTACTTTAAGGTGCAAAACAAACAATTTTTTATAGTTTAACTATAAGTACAATGCCTGGAGCAAATTGTTCAATATATGGTTGTACAACTTCTCATTATTCACACGGTATAGCTATATTCAGTCTTCCTAAAGGTCAGGATGACTATAATGTTGAATGGAGAAGAAAATTGATTGAGATTATCACAAAAGATCGTTTGATTGATTCAGTATTAAGAAAACAAATTGCCAGCGAATCTTTACATGTATGCGAAAAGCATTTTGAAGATCACGAAGTTAATA